TAAGTGTTGTACATGTAGTGGGGTTCGAAATAAATTAAAATTTAGTGGCCAAAGTGTACAATTAATGGCCATTAGTGACATTAACCTATAATATAGACTAGCTCAAAGAATGAATGAACCGTAATAATACGACGTCGTACTGTCTCCTGGTAAAGATTGCCCTTCTGCTTCTTGCCTGCCGCGTTCCTCTCCAAAACGCAGATAAACACTTCTAAAATCTCCGAGGCAAAAGGAGCCAAATCATGGCCGGAAAGTAAGAGGGTATGTACTTGTTAGCCGTTGTTCTTCTTAATTGAACTATCGGTGTATGTTTTTATAAATCTTGTTTGCTTCATAATTGAAAATTTCTTTGAAATTTCTCACCTACTGTTGCTGTAATATGGCAAAAACCCAAGCATTTCCTTTAGCTTTTAGGATTTCCTCACAGCCCCCGAAAATGCAGAGGAAACTTCACACCCTAATGCCCCTATCTTTGATAGCTGGATATCGTCCAGCCCTTGAGTCTAGTCTCAAAACCCACAAACAGTTCTATTCGTTAGGACCCAGGAATAGTTCAGTCGAGCATCGCTTTGAAACTTCAGGTGAGGTGGGGTATTGTGTAAGAAATGCTTTGCGGAGTTATTTACTATTTAGAAACAGAAGTTTTTCTAGTTCATATTCAGGAAAGGTTGTAGAAGGAGGTGGAAAGACCCNTTTACTATTTAGAAACAGAAGTTTTTCTAGTTCATATTCAGGAAATGTTGTAGAAGGAGGTGGAAAGACCCTTCCTTGGTTAGCCAAATCTAAGGCCGGAGAAGAGAAAAAATTGGAGAAAAATGTGATGATGAAAACTAGCAGGTCTCCGTGGGAGGAATCAGCAGAAAAGTTTTTAAAAGGTGGTGCATCTACTGTGGAATTCAGGGAAACTAGAAAACTTGAAGGTCAACAAAGTGACTACAAAAATAAAGATAAAAGTGTTGAAGGACTGGAAGAGACTGAAGAACTGGGAGAGGTTGATGATGTTAATGAAACTAGGTGGTATAACATTCAAAATAAGTTCAACAAGATTGTCGAGAAAAAACATGGGTCTGACAGACCGGAGGTCCGGAGATGGAATAAACAGGAAAATTGGGGTAGGAAGACATGGAAAGAGGCTACAGAATCAACTTTGCCAAAAATAGTTGGAGAAGGGATTTATGGAGTTGGTCCCGTTTTAGCTGCATTATCAGCTGGGCGAAGAGAATTCTACGCCCTGTATGTTCAGGAAGGGTTAGATTTGAGCGTGAATAATAGAAAGAAGAAGGACAAGAAGGGTTTCGAGAAAGTTATGAAGATGGTGGAAAAGATTGGCTTAAGCATAAAAGAGGTGTCGAAGCATGATCTGAACATGGTAGTTGATAATAGGCCTCATCAAGGCTTGGTCCTGGATGCTTCACCGCTGGAAATGGTAAATATGAAGGAGTTGGAGCCAGTTTCCATCGAGGAAGATAAGGGTCCTCTTTGGGTGGCTTTAGACGAGGTTACTGATCCTCAGAATTTGGGGGCAATTATTCGGTCTGCTTACTTCTTTGGAGCTTCTGGTGTGGTATTGTGTGCGAAGAACTCTGCCCCATTAAGTGGGGTTGTGAGCAAAGCAAGTGCAGGTTCACTTGAGTTAATGGAGCTCAGATCCTGCAAGAATATGATGCAATTCTTGACATCTTCAGCTGAAAATGGTTGGAGGGTTCTAGGTGGATCAGTGTCTTCAAGAGCTGTTCCTTTGAATGAAATTGTGCCTGGTGCTCCTACAATCCTTGTTCTAGGCAGTGAGGGCACTGGGTTGAGACCACTCGTGGAGAGATCTTGCACTCAATTGATTAGAATTCCTGGAAACCTTCCTGTTGATGTGATTGCAGGGGGAGATGAAGAGGTGGTTAGTGTTCAAAATCTAGATCAAGAATTCAGGTCTTTTTTGGCAGTGGAGAGTTTGAATGTAAGTGTTGCAGCAGGTGTGCTGCTTCATCACTTGATTGGGAGTGATACAGTTGGTCATTTACCATAAAAACAAACTGGCAAAAGAATGAAATATCCTCGTTATCAACTCAAACATTTTCCTGCTTAATTACATTGTTCCATTACATTGCTAAGTTGAAAAGAGTATTGTTGAACTTAGTGGTTGTTTGACAAAGCTTTCAATAAAAGTTTATAGCAGATTTTGATAAAAATTGACGTGATTGAAACGTTCATTTAAGTTGCGGTCCTATGCATTGTGTGGTTAGAATTGAAGTTTGACTAGTTGAAAATTTGATAATAATTTTAGCAAAGTTTTATCAATCAAGCAGTGAATTGGTAAAAATAGTTAGTTAACATTATGATCAGTTAATCACATGTTGGCATCTGCATTCACAGTGTTTTAAAACTAGAAGATCTGATTTCACGCGAACACTTGCAAATAATATAATCTTGCTTTTGGTGAGGTATGTGTTTGACTTTCTCCCCTTGCCAATGCCTTTTTATTACATTGGAAGAGCAAATTTTGTCTCTTTCTTTGCAATTTTTATGTTTATCCACTATTTTACATCTTTTAGGAACCATTTTACCCTTAATTTCTATGTGATTACTTTTATATGATATTTGTCATCACTCTTTACTTATTGGATAATCACTTTTTCGCAGTGTTGTCCAAACAAGCAAAGCACATGTGATACTTGTAATATAATTAGCTAAAAAAATCTTGGTTCATATTTGTGGTTTTGAATTGAAAATGATGATAAAATGATATTATTAAAATTTTTAGTGGAGAAAAAAACAGATAGTTTTATTTTTTCATCCTTCTAATATTCTAAACTATCTGGTGATCTTTTGTGATTTTTGTGAACATTTTGAGGTGACTGATGAGTAATGGCTTGATGTGAAAACTTCTTTGTGAAAAACTGAATTTTTTTTTCCAGTATTAGCAATCATATCTATATTTTCTGTAGTGCTTTGGACATTGAAAGAATATATGTTTGCTAGAAGCCTCTAACAGCAGTTTTTTCAAGCATTGTTCCTTTTTTTTTTTCATAGTTTCTTAGAACACTGCCAGTTATGTGAGCTAGTGTTGTTATATCATTCCAGACCAAGTAAATACTGATTGACAGTGTCTCAAGTTTTCCACCTTAATTTTCATTGCTCTCTTGTTTTTGTGGTAATGAAAACTTTAATGTTTGCTCTTATATATGCTTATGCTATGGTGCCTCTTAGGATATTTTTGCTGAAAATGGAAGATGCAAGTGTCTTTTGTCTCGCATACTGTTACACATGGTGTTTCTTCTCTTTATGATCCTATAAATATGATATGGAGTTCAATTTTTATTTATGAAAGTAATGGCAGCTTATTTTTGTTCACTGATCTTGTTGAATGATAGGGACTCATTTTACATACATTTCCCACTTGGCAATGGCGTTTCTAGAATTCCTTTCATTCTAAAATCTCTGCTGGATTGAATTTGCGTGAAATTCTTGAAAATAGTTTATTCTGTCCCCACACAACTTCTAGGACTTGATATGAAGTTTTCACATTTTTTATTTTTTTTGGGATTTAGGAAGTTAACCTGTATACTTTCTTATCCCTGCTGCTAACTGAGCAGTGCAATCTGATTGAATAATTTTGATGAACACTTGTCCTTTTCATGCATAGATTATTTGGAAACTGGCAAGAATGGATTTTGGAGTTGGGATATTTGATCTTTAGTTGATAGAGACTTTTTAGGTAACTGGTGCATTTTCTATGGTGGTGTGAAATAGACATTTAAATCTCCAAAGTGGTTGAAAACGTCTCCAATGGGGAGATACAAAGGAGATGCAAATTGCATTTTCTGACAGAAAATGTAACAAGAGGCAAAATGTGGATTTAAATCTTTCTGTGAGGTGGATCAATTTTATCCATTTTGCACATGAGTATTTGTCGTGAGCTCTTTAAAAGGATTGTGCTAGTTGATGTGTATTATGAACGATAGATTAAATCCAATAGTTGGATTTCCATTGGATTTAATCTTGTGGTCAATTACACATTCTACTCATATATCTTTCATAGCACAATATTTGAATTTGAATTTGAATTCAAATAGATATTTGGCTCTATAATTACAAGATTTCTTCATCTTTTCATTTTGGACTTGGCATAACAAAAGAGAGAGCATAGAGAGGTAATCAAGTGGGAGAAGTTCATATCTCCGACGAAATTTTTGGTGGCTTCCGACAGATTCATTTCTTGGTATATCCATTGTCATTCTCATGGACGACGGTGCATGATTCGGTGTGGCAAAAATTTGAGCTCAACGTCATAGGACACTCCATTAGTAGTGTTGAAGAAGTTTTGAGTCTTTTTTGTTCGATTTTACACTTTGAGAGTTTATATTTCCGCATTGTATGTAATAATCATTTTTTCACTACATTTTAAACTCTACAAATGGTATCAGAGATTAGGCCAGTGGTATAAAGTGTTAAAAAAACCTGAAAATCGGATTGGAAGTCGAAGGGGTTCGGGTTTGGTTGAAAACTAATAAACCTGAATCTTTAAATCCATTTTTCGACAAAACCACGCGCCTGGTGGACGAACAATGACCACCACCGGACTCTATACGACAAGCAGAATCTGTCGGTGTCGCAAGTGAAACACGCGTCGACGGTGGAGGCGGCACGTGAACACCATGCACAAAGGGACAAGACGTGCGTGAGGGCGCGTGCGGGCGATTTAGTCGGAGGTGAAAAAAGACAGTTTGTTACTTGAGACATTTCTGATCTTTTGGTGGTGTTGGATTTATTTTGGTACACTGTGGAAGCAAATATAGCATCGGGCAGAAAGGTGAAGTGGAGAAAGCTTTTCCGTTGGTGGCTCGGTGGTATTTCCTGGGGCTGCAACAGCTATTGGATAACTTAGGGCAGTTATTGGAGGCCTTAGATCGATAAAGACTCGCATCTCTCCTTAAAATACGAACCAACATATTGGTTCGCTCGGTTTGCGCTTTCTAACACACACTCGAATTTACAATTGAGATATTGTGTTATTTGCTATCATATTGTTATTTGACTATTGTAATATTGTCTATGTGTTACTTGTTATAATATCATAGCTTGTGTCATCTTGAAAAATAATTTCTACATAAATTGGTTTGATCTTGCATTTGTGTGGGTAAATTGAGTAAGTAAAACTTTTTTGAAAAACATTATTTTTCTACCATGCCCTTTCAAGTTGAATTTGTACAATTCAATGGTAAGGGAGATTATTCAACTTGGAAGCAAAAAATGAAAGATATTTTAATCCAACAAAAAGTTTTTAAAGCTCTTGACGACCCGAAAAAATATCTTGATGCATTTAAAAGCTAAACCGGATGAACTTATCGAGATGAATGAAATTGAACATAGTTTGATTATATTGTATTTGTCTGATGATGTGTTAGGACAAGTTGAATAACATAAAGCTGCCAAAGAGTTGTGGGAAGCATTTGACAAGCTATTTTTGAAAAAATCTCTTCCAAACAAAATACATT